CGCAGTGGAATGGGATGTTGGAGCCGTGAGTTGGAATGATGGCCATGGTGGAACGGGATGTTGGAATTACAGCCATGGTGGAAGGAAATGTTGGAATCGTGGCCATGGTGGAATGATGGATGTTGGAATTACAGCCATGGTGGAATGACAGATATTGGAATTGTGGCCGTGGTGGAATGATGGATGTTGGAATTATGGCCATGGTGGAATGATGAATGTTGGAATTACGGCCCTGGTGGAAGCTGATGCTGGAATCGTGGCCATGGTGGAAGTTGATGTTGGAATGGTGGCCATGCCCCTGGGCAAAGCCAACCCATAATGATGGTGGCCCCATGGCAGACCCATAGTGATGCTGATCCCAAGTACCCCGTTGGGATAAGGAGCCACATGCTGCAGCAAACCCTCATCCCAATCCTTGGGAACGCCGGATCCTTGACCAGATCCCAGCCCATCATGGTGCCTGATCCCACGGCAGACCCACAGTGGAGGAAACGCCGAACGATGTCGATCCCGATGACCCCATTGGGATCCAAACCCTCATCCCAATCCTTGGGAACGCCGGATCCTTGACCAGATCCCAGCCCATCATGGTGCCTCACTCCACGGCAGACCCACAGTGGAGGAAACCCCAAACGATGTTGATCCCAATGACCCCATTGGGATCCAAACCCTCATCCCAACCCTTGGGAATGTTGGTCCATGGAGACCCTCAGTCCCCCGAGCCCCTGGGGTGGGACAAACCCATCCCCAGGACACCCTGGACCTCCAGGACGTCCCAGCCCCCCTTCACCCCACCCTTGAGCGTTAATTGTGTGCTAATTACCTTTCATTAAGGCTTCAGACCGGGCTCTTTCCCAGCTCCACCACGGATTTGGGCAGCTGGGAGGAGGTCGGGAGGTCCATCCCTAATTCCAGGCCCGCCTGAGCCCCCCCATTAGCGTAATTAGCCGCGCTAACGAGGAGCTGTGATGTTTTATGCATGGCGCCTAATTTTACTCCGGCAAGCTCCTGCTAAATTTAACTCCATTAATCACTGATTCCCGAGGGGCCGGATCCCTGATTGGCGTCACATGGATTAGGGCAGGAAAGGGATTGGAAAGAAACCCCCCTCGCCCTTCTCCTGCGGGAGACGGAGCCGCCGGTCCTGGGATGAGTCCGGAATGCGGCAGGAAGGCGTCGCTCCTTTCCTTGGTGCTATTTTCTGGGAAAAACCAGAGGGAAAAAAAATCATTTTGGGATCGTTGCCCCCTCCCCATTCCCAATCCCGGTTTTCTCGGCCGCGTTTACACAGCGGAGCCGTCTGTGATTAATTTTTTTTTTTATTGCGGGCTCCAAGAGGTTATGGAGCAATTCCCAGATTTCCTTGATGAATTCCCAAGGGTTGGGAGTCACTGGTTGGTCCTGCATCAATCAGCCTGTCCGGATGCTGGCGGATCCATCAATCCCCACCGCGGACGTCGGAATTCCTCAAGGAGCTTGAGGACAAGGCTTGAGTCCCTTCAGTGTCCAGCTGCTCCCAGTTTCCTCCCATTCCCTAAGGAATAAAATCCCCCTCATTATTTCAGAGTCACTGGATTTGAAGGGATTTTTCCCCTTCCTTAACCCCATCCCTGCAATATTCCATGGATTTGGACCATTCCCACCCCTCCTGCTCAGGGATGAGGATTTGGGTGATGTCCATGAGCGTCTTCCAGCAGGTGGAGCCACCAAAATTCAGAAATTTAGGTCTGAACATCCATGATCCTGGGATAGGGAGAAAATTGGGATTGGGGAGTCTGAGCTTCCACATCCTGGGATGGAGGGAAAATTGGGATTGGGGAGTCTGAGCTTCCATGTCCTGGGATGGAGGGAAAATTGGGATTGGGGAGTCTGAGCTTCCACATCCTGGCGTGGGGGGAAAATTGGGATTGGGGAGTCTGAGCTTCCATGTCCTGGGGTGGGGGGAAAATTGGGATTGGGGGGTTTGAGTTTCCATGTCCTGGGATGGAGGGAAAATTGGAATTTGGGGGAACATTGGGACCTGGGGGGCTCTGAGCATCCAAATCCCAACCTGGGAGGGGGGGGAATCTGGGATCTGGGTTGTCCAAAAATCCAAATCCTGGATTGTGGGGATACTGGGATTTTGGGGGAACATTGGGACTGGGGGATCCGAGCATCCAAGTCCTGGGCTGGGGAGACACTGGGATTTGGGGGGAACTGGGATTTGGGGGGCACATTTGATCAGGAGTCTCCGAACATCGAAATCCCAGTCTGGGATTCTGGGATCTGGGTTGTGCAAACATCCAAGTCCTGGATTGTGGGGACACTGGGATTTTGGGGGGACATTGGATCAGGGGGCTCTGAGCATCCCAGCCCTGGCCTGGGGGGACACTGGGAGGTGGAGTTGTCCCAATATCCAGGTCCTGGATTAAAGGCCATCAGGATTTGGGCACTCCGAGCATCCCAGTCCTGGATCAGGGGGACATCAGGACCTGACGTTGCCAAGTTTTCCTCCCAGGCAGGAGAAAAATGAAGGAGAAATGGGAAAACCGGAGCCAAGGCCAGGCTGGGATCTCATCTTCCTGAGGCACAGACGGAGCAATTAGAGGACAAATCCTTCCCGGGGCTGATCCCACTCCAGGAACACAAACGCTTCCATGGGGGTCCTTTCCCGGCTTTCCGAGGCTGCTGGAAATTCCGAGCCGGTAATTCCTTGATGGAAATGGGATATTCAGGTACTTGAAATGGCCACGAGAGTAGTGGAAAACATGGAAAAAAGAGCTTTTCCCACGTGAAAAATTCCCCGGGGGGAAGCGGGCTGGGAACCAAAAATCCCAGGAAAAATGAATATCCAGGTGTATCATCACCCAGCCCAGGTGGATTTGGGATTTGGGAAGCAGCAGGAGAATCCCAATCTGCCTCCCTTCCTCCTTTTCCACGTCCTCAGGTCACGGATTCCGGCCCCGGGGAACAGAACCAATTTCCCAACGTTTCCAATTAAACGCTTCCCATCCGAGCCGTTAATTAGGACGTTCCAGGGCACTTCCCAGGCACTCAGATTTCCCAAATATAATTATTAATATCCCATGAAACAATGAATTATCGCCCACAATTAAAATTAATTACGTTTCTCCAAGTTAATTAAATTATTCTTCGGGTAGGGAGATGAGGGAATTCCACCATCCAAAGGAGAGGCCCTGTGGGGGACAGGGAGGAAGCAGGAGCGGGGAGGGGGCAGTGCTCCAGAATTCCAGGTTTTTCTTGGCTTCCCATATTCCCATCCCATCCCATCCCAGCATTCTCCCATCCCCTTGGGCTTGGATACAGCGGGGTTTTCCAGGGGAAAAAAACCCAAACCCTGATATCTTCAGTTCTCCAGGAAAATTGGAAATAAATGCTGATTTTCATGGGAAGTGGGAATTGGGTCTGGAGCAGAGGCCAAGGAACGCTCAGGGAATGCTGAGTGGAGCATTGATCCATGGGATCACATTCCCAGCACTCCAAACCGCCCAAATTCCAGAAATTCCACACCCCAGGCTCAGGTTTTCCACCAGGTTTCTAAATGGATGGGATGGTTCCAGAGGTTTGGAATTCCCTGTGGAAGGAGCGGCTCAGCTCCAGGCCCGGCAATTCCTCTGTGTCCTGCCAGGATCCAAGATCCAGGATTGAGGATCCAAGATCCAAGATTCAGATTCCAAGATCCATGATTCAGGACCCAAGATCCAGGATCCAAGATCCAGGATTCAGAACCCAAGACCCAGGATTCAGGTTCCAAGATCCAGGGTCCAAGATCCAGGACCCAGGGTTCAGGATCCAGGGTTCACATTCCAAGATCCAAGTTCCAGGATTCAGGGTCTAAGATCCAAGATCCAGGATCCAAGTTCCAGGATCCGGGGTCCAAGATCCAGGATTAAGGATGTAAGATCCAGGATTCGGATTCCAAGATCCAGGATTCGGATTCCAAGATCCAGGATTCGGATTCCAAGATCCAAGATCTAGGATTCAGGTTCAAGATCCAAGATTCAGGATCCAGGGTCCAAGATTCAGGATCCAGGGTCCAAGATCCAGGACCCAGGATTAAGGATGCAAAATCCAGGATCCAAGATCCAGAATTCAGATTCCAAGATCCAAGATCCAGGATTGAAGATTCAGGATTCAGATTCTAAGATCCAAGATCCAGGATTCAGGTTCCAAGGTCCAGGATCTAAGGTCCAAGATCCAGAATTCAGATTCCAAGATCCAAGATCCAGGATTGAAGATTCAGGATTCAGATTCTAAAATCCAAGATCCAGGATTCAGAGTCCAAGATCCAGAATTCAGAGTCCAAGATTCAGGATCCAGGACTCCGGACCCAAGATCCAGGATTCAGGATCCAAGATCCAGAATCCAGGGTCCAAGACTCAAGATCCAAGATCCAGGATTCAGGATCCAAGATCCAGGATTCATCACCCAAGATCCAGGATTCAGGTTCCAGGACCCAGGATCCAAGATCCAAGATCCAGGATCCAAGATTCAGAACCCAAGATCCAGGATTCATATTCCAAGACCCAGGATTCAGGGTTCAAGATTCAGGATCCGGGATCCAGGGTCCAAGATCCAGGATTCAGAACCCAAGACCCAGGATTCAGGTTCCAAGATCCAAGATCCAGGATCTGGGGTCCAAGATCCAGAATTCAGGGTCTAAGATCCAAGAACCAGGATCCAAGTTCCAGGATCCAAGATCCAGGATCCAGAGTGCAAGATCCAGGATTCAGCATCCAAGATCCAGAATTCAGGGTCCAAGATCCAGGATCCAAGATCCAGGATTCAGCATCCAAGATCCAGAATTCAGAGTCCAAGATCCAAGTTCCATGATCCAAGATCCAGGATCCAAGATCCAGAATTCAGGGTCCAAGATCCAAGTTCCAGGATTCCAGATCCAGGATCCAAGATCCAGAATTCAGGGTCCAAGATCCAAGTTCCAGGATTCCAGATCCAGGATCCAGGATCCAAGATCCAGAATTCAGGATCCAGGACCCAGGCTCCAGGATCCAAGATCCAGGATCCAGCATCGAAGATCCAGAATTCAGGGTCCAAGATCCAAGTTCCATGATCCAAGATCCAAGATCCAGGATCCAGAATTCAGGGTCCAAGATCCAGGATCCAAGATCCAGGATCCAGGATCCAGCATCCAGGATCCAGAATTCAGGATCCAGGATCCAAGTTCCAGGAACCGGGATTGTTTGCCCTTCCCTGTCCCTGTCCCTGTCCATGGATCACTGTTATCCCCCAAAATTGCCTGGAAGTAACTCGGGGTCATGGAGCGGCTCCGGGTAATTTTCCCACATTTTTCCGCGGGGAGGGATGGGATGGAACAGCTCGAGTGGATTTTTATTCCCTTCTCTCTTTCTTAGCAGGATTAACCCTTTTGTGGGAAGAAAAAAAGAGAGAATGCTGGAATTTTCCACTCCACATTGTCTCTTCCTTTGGGAACAGCTCCTGGGCCTTTTCCCCCTCTTTCCTGGGAAAATGTGGGAACCAGGACCTTGTGGGGAAAGGGAGAAAAGGAAAAGCTGCAAATAGTGGCAAAAAGTAATATGGGAAAAATAATGGCAAAAAAAAGGAATTGCTCTTTTTTGAAGACTCCAAGATGGGGCTAAAATTCCAATGGATTGGGATAAAAGAAGGAATTTTGGGATGTGTTGGGTGCTGGGGTGGGGTGGGGGTTCTCCCCTCCCTAAAAATTTTGGTTTTATCCCCCTTTTCCTTCCCCTCCCATTTCCCGCTGGATTTATTCCCATCCATATTTACATCTCGATGTATGATTCAAATATTCCTGCCTGGATTTCCTCATTCCAAGGACTTTCCTTCTCCAGGACTCCCCGGGGATCCTCCCTGGATTTCCCCCATCCTCGATGCTCCTGTTCCACATCCAAGGATAACAAAACCTCTCCTGCAAAAGATTCCCCAAAAGCTCAAAATTCCCACTGAATCCCAGCCAGCGGAGCACTTCAACATCTCCGCGGTGATTAATAAGGAATAAACGCCTGGATTAGGGACGGATCCGGGATTTTGGAGCAGGAAATCCCACTCCTCGCTTTACACCGCGCCCCATTTGTTCCCGTTTTGCATCCAGGAGCCAGTCTGGGAAAAAAACGGGAAAAAAATTCCCTCTGGATGTATCCAGGAAAATCCAGGCTCTGCTGAGCCCCTTCCCTTAATTCCAGGAAAATATTGCAAATTCCGCTCTGTGAGGGGAGGGACAACGGGGGGAAATTCCATTTATCCCCCGGGAGTTCTGGGTTTTCCCACTTTTCTTCATCCCAGGGGGTTTTTGGGATGCTGAAGTTTTCATCATGGGGAGATTTTTATAATCCGGAGGTTTTTAGGATGCTGGAGGTGCCCCCAAATTCCTTCAACTCAAACCTTTTCCAAAGAAAACAAAGGACAAGGGTTTGGCAGCGGGAACTGAGGACCCTTCATTTTTTTTTCTTTTTTAAATTCCCTCACTTTCTCCCTATTTCTTTAAATTTTCCCATTATTTATGTAATTTCCCTTTATTTTCCCAATTCTCCC